CCCCCCCCCCCCCCCTTTTGAGCGGCCATCTGCTGAGGCCGACTGGGGTTCAAGGAGACAGAAGCAGACATAGAAAAAGAAGCAGAGACACAAAAAGCAGCTGCAAAAGGCGGCCCCGTCCAGGAAACACACAGCCAGGCAGACGAGCTTCGAGCAAGCTCCCATGTCAGAGGATATCTATAAAATGTTGATGGCAGCTAACTAACTACAAGCTTTATCAAAAAGGAAAGTTTTAAGCCTAGCCTTAAAAGTAGACAGGGTGTCTGCCTCACGGACTAAAACTGGTAGTTGGTTCCACAGGAGAGGAACCTGATAACTAAAAGATCAGTTACTCCTTTGCTTAAAAGTGTGGAGAACTTTCCTGTACTGCCAGCTGGTCTTTCTTTGTCCATCTGGGCCACTGGTCCCAACAGAAGTAATGGTGGCCACAGTGAAACATAGTAGCAGGGTTGGTCATACCTTTTAGGGCAATTTGGATTGCTGCTCTATAAAAGTGGTGTCTCCATTTTACTTGTGGGAGAAATTCCTTTTCCCCCAGAACATTAACAAAATACTCAACTCCCCAAAAAACAAACAATCTGTTTAACCAAGAGCCTTTATTAGCAGAACCCCAAAGGTTTGTCTTTATTTGCTCTTTAGTGCTGAGCTGCTATTGGATAGAAGCTTCTACACTTTACTTGTTGGAGGATTAAGAAAAAGGGTTATTAAGAGGAGGAGAGGAGCTGGAGCAGCTCTTTCGGAGGCCAGTTTTCCAGCTGACGTAACGCTGAGGCAGAGTTCATGGGCAAAAACCTGACATTACTGATAGTGCGTCACCAGCCAACCAGCAGATACAGGGTGATGAACTGAGCGATGACACAGGGGTCAATAATCAGCCTTTTTATAAACACACAAGATGAATTTGCAAAGAAAGCGACAGCTCTGAGAAGTTCACAGGAATGACATTATTTCAACCTCTTAGCCATTCATTTAAAGCATTTCTCTTAACTTTTAGAATGACCAATAATACATAAACTTGTAGAACTTTGAACATATTTGTTTAAATTATGCGTACGGGTTCAAAGATAATGTTTAGTTCAGCTTTCTTGACAGCCTAACTCAGCGATGAAGTCTGACCACTGCTGATGGCAGAATAACTGGAGGTCATTTAAAATGGGGAAGTAACTAGATTCCTGCAGCATACCTCACTCCATCTGGTAGGATTTTATGTTTGCCTCCCGTACCCAGTCTGGTTTAGTTGTGTTTATAGAGATGAATGACTTGTCAGAAGACTCGTAGAAGCTTTTAAGCACGGTGGTGGCAGCAGCATTTCAGTGGTGCTGGTGTATTAGGACAATTTTATTTTATTATTACAGACTCAAGGTCCAATATACATTAAAAGAAAACAGATACACTAAGAATAAAAAGAATGAGAGTACAACAGAGAAGGTGCCTAACCCTTCAGGAGGCAATTATACCAATGTCTCCAAAGCACAGATGAATATTTAACTGCACTATATTTGACATTGGTCATCAGTAAAATAATTATATTATTAGACTCATTTAGATGACAAATAAATTAATACATAAGCTTTCTCAAAACAGCCATAATAGTCCTGACACTAACAGATACAAACAATTCACTGGCCCTGGTCCATCTGGGCTTATTTAACAAAAGTCTTAGTGCATCATTATAAGCAACCTTCAACTTATGAAGACTGGCTTTTTTAAAGTTGCACCACAAATGTGCTGTATACAGTGATGTGCAATATGATCTGAACAAGTTCAGTTTCACTTCGTCAGAACAGAATCCAAATGTCTGGACAAGGATATTTGCCTGAGCGTATATCATTCGGACCTGACGGTAAATGTCCTCATCATCAGACAGACGGTCTGTCAACACATGACGAAGATATTTGACTTCAATAACCACAAATCTGAGCTTATTGTTCTGATAAATAGAGCTGGCTAAGTTCCGGTTTTTGGAACAGACATAATCTATAAAATCTATAAAAAAAGTGGACCACCTGTTCGGTTACTGTTAGTTATCATTCTTTGCCCCGGCTGCCATTAGGCCTGTGTTATGTTTAATTTCAGTAGCAGTTTTATACCTAAAAGAAATCAGAAAGTCAACCAATATTCTTGAAAATATTTATTGTAGTACATAAACAAATATGTATATAAACACATACAAAGTAATAGAATCCCAAAATATAAAGGTCATCCTTTGTATGAAAAGAGGTCATAGACAGGAGAACTTGAGGCAGGAGACTAGAGTTTTACTTGGTTATGCTACAAAAAAAGATAAATAAATCAATTTCCAAAAAAGGTAATTTCTGCTCAGAAACAGAAGTAGCAACCCCCACTCCACTGACCGTGAAGCAGGAAAACAAAATCCTAGAGACAAGCTCCATATTGGTCCTCTAAAGCTTCAGGCACAGTCAGGTAACTTTTAGCTGCAGTACATTTTGCTTTGTCAGTATATTTACAGACCATTCAGTCACAACATTAACACTTTGAACCATCCTATCTGTGATCCTTGGTCAGGTAGAAAAGTCTAGACAGAAACAGCTTCAACATGGAAAAATATCTTTCATAGTTTATATCAACAACTACAGTAGAAAAGGAAATCGTTTAAAGACACGACGCCGAGCACGGCATTATTTGCTACCTCTACGCACGACATCTGTAAAGCTGTTAAACCAGCCTGTGGTGCAGGTCTTTACAGACAGGTACCATGTGCATCCTCAAGCAGCGTGCTGACATGTTAGTGAACTAAATGCAGACTTTGCATGGCAGCAGTAGCTTAAACTTAAAGGCAGGACTGTAGGTAGGCCAGTTTGGTTCTGTGTAGTTGACCTCCATCTGAAGTCCCATAAAGGAATATTAGAAACAGAAGACAGGGGCGCAGAGGACCTCAGTGGGTGGAGTCGGAGTCACTGGAGTCCAGGCTGACCTGTGTGGGCGTAGGGGTGCGATTGGTAGCTGCCGGGCTGTAGAGGGTCTGTGTGCTCCTCCGCAGATTCTCCAAGGACTGCAGGAAAGAGCGGCGTGCCCTCTCTTCTTCCATGGGAGAAGAGCCTTCTTCTTCTACCTCTGCAATCTCAGCAAAAGTGACAGGCTGGGTTTTGAAGCGGGCCTCCCGAGGTCGGCGGGAGCGACTTTTGCCCTTTGCGGGGCTCTTGGGTACGGGGAGCTGCTGGGGGAACTCCTCAGTAGCAGCGGCCATCAGGTGGGCTGAGAGGACGTGGAAGCCAGAGGTCTCTGTTGGCATCTGACGCACAGCAGCCATGGTGAAAACAGGAGCCTGATAAAAAGGTAAAACAGTCAGAGGAAGGTCTGGCTCTTCCTGCCTACACGGGTGGGACCTTTGCTCTTTCAGGAGCCTTGTCCAAAGAGAAGAAAATATCTTTATCTGACGAGCAGGAAAGCCAGAGGGGATCTGAAAACCAAGACAAATAACCTGGGCCAGAAATCTCCAAGGATAGGCCAGACAGAGACAATCAGTCTTGAAGAAGAAAACCAGTTCTTGGCAGGTGTCTGCTCTTCCCTCGTCTGCTGCTTTCAGCTCTGGAGCTGGCTGTCTCTCGTTTTATGTCAGTGTCGGTTCTCTGCAGCTAGTGCCACAGACGGCTATGACTTTCTCTTATATAGCCGCTCACCACCCACCCTACCTCTCTCTCTCCACATCATGTGTTAGTCAGGGCCCTCCCACTCCACTCCCCTCCCCTCCTCTCCTCTCAGTCAAGGATCCGGCCTCTGTAACACTAAGACCCTGAAAATAAAGACATGACTACATCTGTGTCCAAAGGCTGTGTAGTATACATATGCAGCAAACGAACATGTAATACAAGAAATCAGAGTTTGGAAAGAGAAAATTGGATTAAGTCAGCTGTCCTCTAGTTGGATTTGGTCTATTTCTATCAAGGAATTTATTAAAGCTTCAGTTCACTTAGTATTACAATATTAGTTTTTATTCTATTTCTCTTTTCCAGCCTCTAACCGGTATTTGTGCTGCCATTTATTTAACTTATTCCATTTCTTTTTATCAATTATCCCTGCAGCAGAAAAGCATCCCACAGCATGTTCCTGCCATCACCATTTTGCATGGTGGGAAAAGGCCAAAAAGTTAATTTCAGTCTTATTTGACCAGAAAAAGTTCTTCCAAATGTTTGTTTGCAAACACCCATCAGAACGTCTTTTTTCCTCTGCCGTGTGGGTCTTCGCAATGCTGATTAGTCATTTATAATAAAAGTAAACAACTAACAGCTGGACTTGCAGAAGTGAATTTTAGACAAATTTTAGACGACCTTTACTGGCTCTGAACCCAAACAAAGGCAGGAGGGAGAACAAATATTTGGGTCTGATGCAGTTTTCTTAGAAGCAGCTTTGGCAAATTCTCCATATTCTGTTTGCTCTCTTCACTGGAAAATTCCTCAACATTTTTTTCCCAGCTGTTCTGGGAGCTTCTGCTCTGATGCTGTCATGGTTCTCCTCTTTTGGGACTCTGAGTTTTTAGTTTTCAGTTATTAGTTATTCTGTTTTGTTGATCTATTCAATTCAATTCTGTTCAGTTTATTTCTATAGCACAAATTCACATCACGTCATCTCAAGGCACTTTACAGTTCACCAGATCATCCAGTCAAATTGATTCAAAGTTTTCTATCTAAGGAAAACCAGTTCATTGCATGGACTCATTGACTCTTCAGCAATCCTTCACACTAAGCATGTTTGTAGCGACAGTGGAGAGGAAAAACTCCCTTTTCTTTTGGCAGTCTTTAGTTAATCTCTGTTGCCTCCTTGTGTTTTTTTTCCTTTCCCCTTGGCTTTCTTCTAGTTTGTTCCTCTCACACCTGCTCCATATTCAGCTCCTTAGCCCATCCTTTGTTCTGTCCCCCTTATATACACCATCTCTACAGTCACTCAGTGCTTGTTTCTTGTTGTTGTTTGTTGCTTCCTCACTGCATTTGGGTCCTCTACCAAGCTCCATACAAACCATGACAGATGCTGTTCAATAGGCTATGGGATGCTCATACGGCGGTTCTTCTTTTTGGTGTTCACAACAAAGTTGTAAGCATCTTTTTGCTTAGAGATAAAATAATACAAAAAAAAAAAAAAACAAGACAAATCTCCTCCATGTTAAGCGGGACTCCCTGGTTTGATGTGTCATCTGGTCGCAATCTAATTATGCTTCTTTTTTTGCTTCGATCTTTTTTTCATCACTGACCATGAGACTTTTTCAAAACCTCTCCAAGAATTTATCATTTGGAGATGATCAAGGCTCCTAAAATAAAAAGGGCTAATCTTCAATCAGGAGCTGAAGGCTTTCCAACAGTCGAGGCCAAAGGACCAAGTGTCCAAATCTGCTCAGGGTCAGTTTCTTCTTAAAGCTACAAACTTGACAAAATAGCATAACATTAGGTGGTGTAGGCTCTGTATTAAAAGGAAAATTAGAAGTTGATATAGTCGGCTGTTAAACCTGAGCATCCCAGCAAATTATAACTTTCAGGGTTCAGGGGATTGTCCTCATTTTTGGTCTTCATCTTTTTCTCTATGCTACTATGACTTTGCCAAGTCCTGGAATGAGTTTCCATCAGTGTGGGACTGAATCCAAATACAAGTACGTTATTATAAGCAGATGTTTTATTTGCCAAAGTAAACGTGGTCAAGTTAGATGAATTCATCTCACCAGAGCTAAAAGAAGGTCCTGGTGCTTTTCCCATGCGAGGAGCAGGGCTTACTTTGTTAATACTGTAAATATGCATGAACAACTCTGTTAGAGCTAAATATTGGAGGTAATAACAGACCCTGTGTTGATACAACGATGGTCTCATGTCTTCCCACACGGGCAGCTGTACTTAGAAACTTGTGATCAAAGGCCAGAGTGGAGAAAGAATATTACATATGCGGGTTGTGTTTATAGGAAGTATCTTCTTTATGCTCCACAAAAGGTTTAACAGTTAAATAAATAAATAAATGTAAGTTTATGTGAGGTTAACAAGTCATAGATTGTGCAACAGAATGCTGTAGTTGCAGCAGTTTTCAGTTTAGAAATGCTCAATACTTTAAAGAGAGAAAAGATTCTCCATTGGTGGGTGCAGAGACACCAGTCTGACAACTTTGGTATCTTAAAAGATCAAGATTTAACTCAGAAATCCGAGCATATTTCTTTACATTAACAATATCTGATGTCATTTAATAAAATGACAGAAAAAAAGCCAGTGTCATCACAGACCTGTATCCATGATTTAAACCAGCTGTATGAGTAACCATGATTGTAAAAAGACACTTCCAGAGCACATTTGAAATTAATAATATGCATGAGAAATAAAACAGTTCCTGATCAGATAAAGGAGCTTTTAACATGGTTGTTTGTGGGGTTTTTTTTTTTTTTTGTTCAGTTAAGAGCCATAAACTAGCAGAGATAGATGAGTCTAACACAAACTGGAAGAAAGGATATGAGTAGGATCTCTTTTGTGCATCTAGGATACTTTTGCTTATGGATGTTAGAGCCTGCCCTGTTTTTGAGTATAGTCCTGTTTCTCTGACCGTAACTAACTGGGTGTGCTCTCTTTCATCTTCTGACCTGGGAGCTGGCTCGGAGCTCGTCTGCCTGGCTGTGTGTTTCCTGGACAGGGTCGCCTGTGGAGCTGGTTGACAGTTGCCTTTTGTATCTATGCTTCTTTTTCTATGTCTGCTTCTGACTCCTTGAACCCCAGTCGGCCTCAGCAGATGGCTGCTCACACTGAGCCTGGTTCTGCTGGAGGTTTTTTCCTCCAGGAGAACCTCCCATTCTATTTCCTGAAGTTTTTCCTCTCCACTGTCGCCACAAGCATGCTTAGAGTGAGAGATTGCCTACGAGTCAATGAGTCAATGCAATCAACTGGTTTTCCTTAGATAGAAAACTTTGAATCAAATTTGACTGGATGATCTGGTGAACTATAAAGTGCCTTGAGTTGACATGTGTTGTGAAATGGTGCTTTTTAAATAAACCGAATTGAATTGAACAGTTTGCCACTAAAAGAACTATCCTGCTCTGCTTCCTATGAATCATGGCCACTTCATGAGATGTGAGCCCGGTTGGTAGGCACTGCCTTCTGTAACTCTAAGCAACTTCTCTTATTTGAGTAACATTATTATATCTGTCAAAATCTTTAGTCGTGTCTCATGGTTATTTAATACAAATACATAATGAAGTGTTATTTAAAGAGTTTGTCCTGAGTGATCTCCTCTCAGGAAAAGAACCGGAGAGAGAAAGCTTCAAAGTGTAAACACAGAGCTTTCCCTAACAATGAGGATGGGGACTGATAACTTCCAGCTGCAGGTCTTGTAGTCTGTGTTTCGACCAGCATTGCTCACCAACAGACAGATTTGTTCAGGGGCTCTTAGTTTGAAAGGGCGCCTACTAAACAGTTATGAATGCTACTGCAGGTTTTCAATTTTATTCTATTCAGTTTATTTCTATTGCACCAATTCACTACACGTCATCTCAAGGCACTTTCCAGTTCACCAGATCACAAAGTCAAACTGATTCAAAGTTTTCTATCTAAGGAAAACCAGTTGAATGTATAAACTTGTTAACAGGAAGAAACCTCCAGCAGACCAGGCTCAGTGTGAGCGGCCATCTGCTGAGGCTGACTGGGGTTCAAGGAGACAGAAGCAGAGATACAAAAAGAGGCATAGACAGAGATTGTCAAGGAAACACACAGCCAGGCAGATGAGCTCCAAGCCAGCTCCCATGTTAGAGGATGAAGAGAGCACATCCAGCCAGCCACAGTCAGAGAAACAGGACTACACTGAAAAACAGGCCAATCTCGAACGTGTTTTGAATTTTTTGGTTGTGGAAAGATTGAAAGTGATAGATGGGGAATAGTTGTAGCTGATTGTTTTTGTATTTGCATTCAACATGTGAGAGAGGTACACAATATAACATATTACATAGATACTACCATGCCTTATCTAGATGGTATAGGATGAAGCTCCTGGATGATGATTTGTGCTGGAAATGCAGAAAACAAACCGGTATGTTCCTCCATTGTATGTATCAGTGCTGTTTGGATTCAGGTTTTAAGCAATTGACTTGGAGCAGAAACCAAGAGCTCTGTTTACTGAGGGGAAAATCTTAAGCCTCTTTCCAACTGAAATAAGTGTATTAAGTTTTTAAAACATGGGTTGGCCCGCCAACAATCGGCATTTGGCTTGTTGATCCCATTGGCAAAAAAAGCTGGATCTAACCCCTGGCTGGTAGCTGCGTGGCCTCAGTCCCCCCACTGCTTCGTATCTAGAGACACCATAACGCTAGGTTAGCATTGATGATGTCATCAACGTGACAGAAATTAGGAAAGTAAACAATGGAGAGCAACATGTAAGGAAACCCGGGCGGAGTCAGTGTGCTTTATTGTTTCTCTTTATTATCTGTCTGAATCCCTCTCACCAGAGCTGCTCCATGTTTATGTAATGGTTCTGTAAACAGAGTTGTTTCTGCTTGTTAGATCAGAAGCAACTGGCGTGGTGTGTTGACATCCGTACGTGCGTTCAATAGTGCCGGTCAACCTGGCTCTTGTGTTCCAACAGCATACCGATCAGAGCCGAGGTGAATCTAACATGGGGT